TAATAAAAAAATGTGGATGTCGCTCGAGCGAGATTAGTGTCGCTCAAGCGAAAAACAACCCGAGAATGTCAATTTTGTGCAGGTGGCGTCGCTCGAGCGAGACCATGTCGCTCAAGCGAAATACAACCCGAGAATGCCAATTTTGTGCAGGTGGCGTCGCTCGAGCGATGTTATTTTCGCTTGAGCGAATGTTGACCTGCTAACCGTCGATCAAAGTTAGCCGGATAATGTAACATGGGTGACCTCATGTTTGAATCGGATGTCGCTCGAGCGAGTATAGTGTCGCTCAAGCGAAATACAACCCAAGACTTCACAATCTTAAAATCTGGTTGTATATGATAGCGGTTCCACTGGAACCGCTATTAAAAGGGCACTTCTAATAGCGGTTAACCCTCAACCGCTATCTAAAATATACTTTAGATAGCGGTTAACGTGGAACCGCTATTATATCTTCTCAATTATGATCGATCATTTCTAATTATAATCGATCATAATGAAAACTTACATTAACTATTTTTTTGAATATTATGTTTTTAAATTTGCTATTAGAGAAAACCTTTCAGAATTCAAAATGTTAAATACTTTTAAATATTAAAATTAACTTTATCAAAAATTAGGAAAAAAAATTAATCCAAAAGAGTTCAAAAATGTATTATAATATTGTCAATTTTGAGTTTAATTATATTGTTCATTCTCAAAGTAGAAAAATATATTGTAATTATTTTAATTTAATAAAATATAATTTAAATTTTTAATACTAAAATTAAAAGATTAAATAATAATAAATTTAATTCTTTAAATTCAGTAGTTAGAAACTAAAATTATAGTTTCTCTGTTTTAAATAATTAAAATAAATATTTAAAAATAAAAATCAAAACTAGTATTATCTTAAATTTATTAAAAGTGTAATTAAATCTCTATTTTCTTAATTTTATTTGTTTCAAACTTCTCAATTCTACATTTTTGTAAGTTCTATCATTATATTATCATCCTCATCTCCTCCCATGTTCTACTTTATCTTTACAATAGTTCAATATTCTTAAATAATTTATATTTTTAATTATAATTTTTTAGTATATATTTCAGAAATTAATCAATTCTAATCTATTATTTGAAAAACTAATCAATTCTAATCAATAATTTAGAAAACTAATCGATTATAATTAATTATTTGAAAAAATTATCAAATATGATCGATCATTTTGAAAATCTAATCGATCAGAATCAAAAAATCTGGTTGTATATGATAGCGGTTCCACTGAACCGCTATTAAAAGGACACTTCTAATAGCGGTTAACCCTTAACCGCTATCTAAAATATACTTTAGATAGCGGTTAACGTGGAACCACTATTATATCTTCTCAATTATGATCGATCATTTCTAATTATAATCGATCATAATGAAAACTTACATTAACTATTTTTTTGAATATTATGTTTTTAAATTTGCTATTAGAGAAAACCTTTCAGAATTCAAAATGTTAAATACTTTTAAATATTAAAATTAACTTTATCAAAAATTAGGAAAAAAAATTAATCCAAAAGAGTTCAAAAATGTATTATAATATTGTCAATTTTGAGTTTAATTATATTGTTCATTCTCAAAGTAGAAAAATATATTGTAATTATTTTAATTTAATAAAATATAATTTAAATTTTTAATACTCAAATTAAAACATTAAATAATAATAAATTTAATTCTTTAAATTCAGTATTTAGAAACTAATATTATAGTTTCTCTGTTTTAAATAATTAAAATAAATATTTAAAAATAAAAATCAAAACTAGTATTATCTTAAATTTATTAAAAGTGTAATTAAATCTCTATTTTCTTAATTTTATTTGTTTCAAACTTCTCAATTCTACATTTTTGTAAGTTCTATCATTATATTATCATCCTCATCTCTCCCATGTTCTACTTTATCTTTACAATAGTCAATATTCTTAAATAATTTATATTTTTAATTATAATTTTTTAGTATATATTTCAGAAAGTAATCAATTCTAATCTATTATTTGAAAAACTAATCAATTCTAATCAATAATTTAGAAAACTAATCGATTATAATTAATTATTTGAAAAAATTATCAAATATGATCGATCATTTCGAAAATCTAATCGATCAGAATCAAAAAATCTGGTTGTATATGATAGCGGTTCCACTGGAACCGCTATTATATGTTCACTTTTAAGAGCGGTGAAAATATTAACCGCTCTTAAAAGTGACAAATATTTTATTTATAGACACATTTTTGCATCAGATATCGCTCGAGCGAGACCAATGTCGCTCAAGCGAAATACAACCCGAGAATGCCAATTTTGTGCAGGTGGCGTCACTCGAGCGATGTTACTTTCGCTTGAGCGAATGTTGACCTGCGTAAACGTCGATCAAAGTTAGCCGGATAATGTAACCTGGGTGCCTCATGTTTGAATCGGATGTCGCTCGAGTGAGAATAGTGTCGCTCAAGCGAAATACAACCCGAGAATGCCAATTTTGTGCAGGTGGCGTCGCTCGAGCGATGTTACTTTCGCTTGAGCGAATGTTGACCTGCGTAAACGTCGATCAAAGTTAGCCGGATAATGTAACCTGGGTGCCTCATGTTTGAATCGGATGTCGCTCGAGCGAGAATAGTGTCGCTCAAGCGAAATACAACCCGAGAATGCCAATTTTGTGCAGGTGGCGTCGCTCGAGCGATGTTATTTTCGCTTGAGCGATATTGCAAAAATCATATATAATCATGGATTATTTTCTCATTAGCGACCGATTTTAATTCGGTCGCTATTTCAATTTGTAATTCGGTCGCTAAATTAGTCGCTAAATGATTTTTTTATTTATGTATGAAATAGCCACCGATTTAGCGACTGAAAATTTGCGACGCACAAAAATTGGTCGCTAAATAAAAAAGTGAAAACCAAATCATATTTTGGTCGCTAAATCGGTCGCTAATTAATACCGAATTAAAGTGGTCGCTAAATCGGTCGCTAATTGCGACGAAATTAAAGTGGTCGCTAAATCGGCTCTAAATACGACTAAAATTAAATCGGTCGCTAAATCGGTCGCTAATTTCGGTGGCTAAATGTGTTTTTTCTTGTAGTGATACAATATTATAATATTATTTGTATACAAAACTAATATCTTTATATATAAATATATAAATATGGAAAGATATAAATATATGTAAAAATATAAAGATATAAATATATAAAAATATAAATATATGTAAAAATATAAAGATATAAATATATTAATATATAAATATATCAATATTTAAATATATCAATGTATAAATATATCAATATTTAAATATATATTAAAATATATAAATATATTTTTATTTATAGATTTTATATTTATATATTTATACGGATATACATTTATTTATATATAAATATAATTTATTTGTAAGTTATTATTAAAAAATCCTAGTAGCTCAGTGGTTGGACCTTTTAGCCTCCAACTCTAAGGTACCGGGTTCGAATCCCGACAATGACAATAAATCAAGTAATAAGTTAATATAATTAAGAGTTAGGGAAAATAAATATAAATAAAAACTTAAATAAGTAAAAATATAATATACAAAGAGGTAGGGAAGTAAATAATTAACTTTGTTATTGATTTAGCGACCGATTTAAATCGGTCGCTATTTTTGTTATTGATTTAGCGACCGATTTAAATCGGTCGATATTTTTTTAACTTTGTCATTGATTTAGCGACCGATATAAATCAGTCGCTATTTTTTTAACTTTGTCACCGATTTAGCGACCAATTTGATATATTAATTTTGGTCGCTATTTTGCGATCGAAATAAAATCGATCGCTATTTTGCGACCGAAATGAAAATCGGTCGCTAATACATTAGCGACTTGGCTTTTTGCGACGACGCCTTTCGGTCGCTAACTAATTAGTGACCGATTTTTTGACATTAGCGACTGATTTTTTCGGTCGCTAAAATGATTTTTTCTTGTAGTGAATTGGATATAACTTGCGTCTTCTTGACATAAAGGATATCCAGAATGACCCTTCACACTATAATTGCTCAAATTACTATATGTTGGAAAATCATTTATTGTGTAAAATAACATTGCACTAAAATTGACTTCGCGATACGCATCAAAGACATCCACTCTTATTTTTCACAACATCTTCAAATCATCAATCAAAAGACTAAAATATACACCTATGTCATTTCCTAATTGTCGAGGCCCTGAAATCATCATAGACAACATAATATATTTCTTTTCATACATAACCAAGAAAGTAAATTGTAAATGCTCAACAAAACTTACCATAAACTATGTTTACTACTTAAATTCCCGTAAGGATTCATTTCATCTGTAGTAATCCAATATTCAAGTTTCTTGATTCTACATCAAATTCTAGAAATGTTTTATCAATCCTTTTCTATTATGAAGAAGTAGCTGGATGTCGAAAAAAATTATCACATTTTCTACTATTCGCATTTCATGTCAAGTTGAGAATTTTATATAAATATTATTATAGAAAAATCATAAAAATAGGTAGTCACAAAATTTCTTAGATGCAAAAATTAATACAAATAAATTAATTAAATAACTAGAAGTATTTAGGTGAAGATGAAATGCGGGGGTTGATAAACAGTGTTCTCGAGAAAGCATGACGTAGAAAACAAAAATTAGTTGTATTTTGGTATAAATTGATTCAATACAATGTTCAGAGGCAGAAACCATGTATTTTATTGATTGCATTCCATTACATAATAAAATAGAGAATAATTGAAGGACCCTTTACTTGAAACATAGTGGTGGTCCATCCGATATATAATAATAATAATATTTAAAGGACACAATTTTCATAAGAAGTTAAGCTATTACGGATAAATCTCGATGAGAGACCTTAATCCCAACACTGGAGTTATCTTGTAGTCATCTGAAACCAGCAGAGAAAATGAGCTTAGCCCATTCTTTCTCGAGTCCTCTCTTTTCCAGGATACAACACCATCACAACCATATCAACAAAGAGCTATGTTTCAATTGATTCATCATCTCCCTTTTCAATGTCCACCACCATGTCGATCACAATCACCTTCCTCTTTAGTCCCTTCTTGCAGTTCTTCAGTATTCTCACACACTGCTCATCATTCCAGTCATGTAATATCCACTGCATCGCATGCATAAATGAAATGAATCAGAGACCAATTTCATAACTGCTAATTCAAACTCTAATCAGTTCATGAAAACTTATATTTACCTTCTGTTGAATAAGTCAAACTAAAAAGTTTCTGTTGCAAATTCAGTTTTTTTCTGTTATCTGTTTTCTGATATAAATAATACTTCAGTTGCATGCATGCATGCAACCCACGTACTATTCAGTAACTTTGTTTTTCCTGTACCCTTTACGTTCACTCTGTTTTTCTTTGTACGTAATATGGTATCAGAGCTGAGTTCGTTCTATGACCTTGAAAGTGTGAAGTCAAGAAAATCTTAGAGGTTTCTTTCACGTGGTCTTCGAAGATCAAGGAGTTGCAGATCAAGAAACCTGTTGAAAAAAAAAACGTTTGAAGTGTGGTCAAGAAGTCTGCAAGATTTCTCATGACAGGAGGTCTTGGAGGATTGATACAGGGAGGGTTGCCGGTGTTCGATGGCAAATCTTTTGGAGATTGGAAGATTAAGATGAAAGCGATATTCGACTTTCAAGAAGTTGCTGATATAATAGAAAATGGTGTCGTAGAAATTGGGAGCAAAGCTACGGAAGAAGAGAAACAAATTTTTAAGTTTCAACAGAAGATGGATAGCAAGGCTAGGTTCTTGATATATCAGTGTGTTAGCTCCATGATTTTTAATCAAATTTCGATGGCTGAAACCGCAAAGAAGGCGTGGGAGATACTTGACAAGACCTATGGTGTTGGAGATAAACACAAGAAGGTTAAGTTGCAAGCATTAAGGAGGAAGTTCGAGTTCCTTATGATGGAAGAAACTGAGACTGTAACAGAGTATCTGAATAAGGTGCAGGAGTTGGTCAACGCAATTCGAGCATGCGGTGACACAGTTTCAGAGCAGCATATTGTAAACAAGGTATTAAGATCTCTTCCACCGAGTTTTGATCATCTTGTAATTACGATTGAAGAAACGAAAGACTTGGAGCATATTGGGATTCAGGAGCTGCAACATTCCTTTGAGGCCCATGAATACAGACTCAGTGAGAGAAAACAAATGCTAGAACAGGCCTTACAAGCGAGATCGAGTTACAAAATGAAATCAAAAGGAACCAAGAAGAGTACGAAACAGTCAAAGGGTGCCAACCAAGATGATGTTGCAGGTGATTTAGAAAAAAGTAAGAGTCATGGCACCAAGAACAGTGGAGAGAAAGGCTGGAAATTTGACAAGAAAAAGGTGAAGTGCTATAATTGTCAAAAGCTTGGGCACTTTGCTCGTGAGTGTTGGAAGGGTGAAGGGTCCAAGGCGATGTCCAAGAATCAAGCTAACCTAGCTAAAGATGATGCTTCATCGGATTCGGATATAGTAATGCTCATGGCAAAGACCAGTGAAGAAAGTTCGAAGAATCATCTTCATGGTATCTTGATTCCGGTTGTTCTACCCACATGACTGGACGTCGGGATTGGTTCATCAAGTTAAGTGATGTTTCACACGGGAAGATCGGGTTCGCGAGATAATCGGAGTCTGCAAGCGGAAGGGAGAGGTCGCGTGGTGTTAATTGATCATGAGAATAGAGAAATCATCATAGATGATGTTCTCTACGTACCGGATTAAAAACCAATTTGCTAAGTCTCGGGCAGCTTCTACGAAAGGGTTCTTTATGGAATTGAAGGAGAATGGGCTTAGCATACTTGATCAAGATAAAAGGTTGGTGATTCATGCCAAACTCTCAGAAAATAGAACGTTTAGAGTGGGGATGAACACACGTAGACATGAGTGTTTTGCTTCCGTAGTTGATGATGGAGAATGGCTATGGCACAACAGGTTTGGGCACCTCAATTTCCATGATTTGTATAGACTTAGTAATGATAATCTTGTTACAGGGTTACCACAAATCAAAATACCAGAAGAAGTCTGCTCAGAATGTATCCAGTGCAAGCAAACTAGGTTGCGCTTCAAGAAATTTGTTGGTGGAAGAGCAACCAAAAAGCTAGGAGTTGTGTACACTGATGTTTGTGGTCCTATGCAGGACACAACTCCAGGAGGGAACAAATACATACTCACCTTCATCGATGAATACACACGAAAATTGTGGGTGTATTTGCTTGCACGGAAAAGTGACGTTCAAGAAGTGTTTGAAAAGTTTGTCAGGATGGTTGAGAGGCAGAGTGGGGAGAAGTTGAAAGTCTTGCGTAGTGATGGAGGTGGTGAGTATTCATCAATAAACTTCAGCTCATTTTGTGAGAAGGAGGGAATAATTCATGAGAAGACTCCACCTTATACCCCCCAACATAATGGAACTGCTGAACGTATGAATAGGACCTTGCTAAACATGATACGGTGCATGTTGAAGGGAAAGAATGTGTCAAACCAGTTCTGGGGAGAGGCAGCTGTTACTGCTGCACACATGCTGAACCATGCACCAACAAAACGTCTAGAGGTGACACCAGAAGAAGCCTGGACAGGTGTCAAACCAAGTGTTTCACACTTCAAAATTTTTGGATCCATGTGCTATAAGCATGTGCCAGACCCACTAAGGAGAAAGCTCGATGACAAAGGAACACCGCATGTGTTCATTGGTTATCATGTAACAGGGGGATACAAGTTGTTTGATCCTGCCACAAAACAGGTTTCAATCAGTCGTGATGTTACGTTCAATAGGCAAGCAGTTGGTCATGGGATCGTGTTGAGAAAGAAGAAAACACTACCAAAGTGACTTTCGATGAAGAAACTGACTCAGAATATCAGAACCAAGGTGAAGCGTCAGCTACAAGAAGATCACAGCGCACATCACATCTTCCTTCACGTCTGAGGGATTACGAAATCTTTGATGATTCAGCAGTAACAACGGATGGGAGCTTGATTCATTTTGCGTTGATTGCAGAGGCAGAACCTGTAGAATTTGAAGAAGCAGTGAAGAATCCTCACTGGCTGAGTGCAATGGAGGAAGAGATTAACTCCATCGAGAAGAACCAGACTTGGGAACTTGTCCCACTACCACCTGGTAAGAAGCCCATTGCGCTCAAGTGGGTCTATAAGTCGAAGATGAATCCTAAAGGAGAGATTTTGCGCTATAAAGCGAGACTCGTCGCCAAAGGGTTCTTGCAGAGAGCAGGGATAGACTACAGTGAGGTTTATGCACCTGTTGCTCGATTGGAGACTATTAGATTAGTGGTTGCTTTTTCTATAAACTCTAACTGGTCATTACATCGGTTAGATGTTAAATCTGCCTTTCTCAATGGTCCACTTGGAAGAGGAGGTTTATGTGCAGCAACCCAGTGGCTTTGAACATCAGGAGAAGAAAAACAAAGTTTATAAATTGAAGAAGGCTCTATATGGGCTTAAGCAGGCACCAAGAGCATGGAATAAACGCATTGACACATTCCTTGAGCAAATTGGGTTCATCAAATGTAAATCGGAGCACGGTGTTTACGTGAAAATGCAACGAAGCACAAGTAATGAGAAAGTCATCATTTGCCTATATGTTGACGATCTCCCGGTCACCTGGAAGCACCGAGAAGCCGATCCGTGAGTGCAAGCGTGATCTCCTTTCGGAATTTGAAATGACCGATCCGGGAAACTTGAGTTACTTTCTTGGCATAGAGTTCAAGAGAACACCCACTGGGATGTTGCTACATCGGACGAAGTATGCGAGGGACTTAGTAAAAAGATTTGGGATGCATCGGAGTAACTCTGCAAGCACCCCTGCAGAGTCTGGATTGAAGCTTGAGCTAAGTCCTGACGAAGAAAACGTGGATCCAGCGCAGTATAGAAGTATCGTGGGCAGCCTGAGATACCTTTGCAACACAAGACCAGATCTTAGTTTGAGTGTTGGCTTGGTTAGTAGGTATATGCAGGAACCAAAAACATCTCATCTACTTGCTGTAAAGCGCATTTTAAGGTACCTTCATGGAACATTGAAACTGGGAATCATGCTTGCCAAAGGAGAAAATAGACTGGTTGGGTTTACTGACGCTGATTGGAGTGGTGATAGGGATGATAGAAAGAGTACGGCTGGGTATGTGTTTTTTCTTGGAAAAGCACCAATCTCTTGGAGCTCTACGAAAGAACCCATCGTAGCTCTTTCAAGTTGCGAAGCTGAATATGTTGCAGCATCCAATGCAGCATGCCAAGGAATCTGGTTGACAACACTGATGAGAGAATTGGGAGTTGAACAGGTGCAAAAGATGAAGTTACTGATTGATAATCAATCGGCAATAAGCCTCGTAAAGCATCCAACTCTACACGGTAGGAGTAAACATATAGAGCTTAAATACCATTTCATTCGGGAGCAAGTGGCAGCTGGGAAGCTAGAGATTGATTACTACAAATCTGAGGAACAAGTGGCGGATGTTTTAACAAAACCTTTGAAAAATGAAAAATTCAAACGTTTCAGAGATAATCTTGGTGTTGTAGATGTTTCATGTTATTTTTAGTTTGAGGAGAAGTGTTGAATAAGTCAAACTAAAAAGTTTCTGTTGCAAATTCAGTTTTTTTCTGTTATCTGTTTTCTGATATAAATAATACTTCAGTTGCATGCATGCATGCAACCCACGTACTATTCAGTAACTTTGTTTTTCCTGTACCCTTTACGTTCACTCTGTTTTTCTTTGTACGTAATACCTTCAACAGCACGGCATCTGCAGGAGGAATGGACTCAAACATGTCACCTCCAACATATTTTAAGTTATCAGCTTCTTGTAAACCGGAAACAACATGTGGGAGATCATATACCGTACAATCTAAGTGAGGGAATGATTTGGCAATTGCCTTTGCCATGGTACCTGTGCCTCCCCCAACGTCAACAAGTGACTCCAAGCCATTGAACACTCCCTCACACCTCTCAATCACCACATTGGCAACCAGTTGAGCGTCACTCGCCATGGCATCATTGAAAAGGAGATTAAGTTTTGGATCACGACCAGCCAAGTCCCAAATTTTCATCTCATGTGCTGTGTGGAATGGCGTAGGATCATCATTCTTGAACCATGTAGGCAAGTGATGCCATGGCTTTGTCAAAATTGGATCAAGCATGGCATGCAAGAACGGTATCATACTCAAGGGGTTGTCCTTAAGTAGTAGAGTGGATGCATCAGTCAACACATAACCCATTTCAAGCTCATTCTCGTTGAGCTTTTGTTGAGAGAAGAAGCCAGAATGGGTCAAAATTCGCATCAAGCGGAAGATGCAGTTGGCTTTGGAAGGGTGGATTGGTAGTGAAGCAGTGAGTTGTGAGAGTGGCATGGGTTGACCATACTTGTGTATGATGTCAGGAATGTCCAAGTCAATTGCACATTTGAGGGACATGGAATTTACGAAGCTGAAAATGTGATTCCAAACATGGGTTTGAGCTCCAAGTAGTTTTGAGGCACGCTCTTCACTTTGGCACTCCATAAAATCTTCTTCCTTAACTTTCTATAGGTGGATGGATACGTTGTTTCACTTCGATGAAACCTGAAATAAGGTTTGGTGTATTTATAAGCCAAACATCTTAGTGGCAATATAAGAACACAAGTTTATTATGTAAAACCATTCAACTAACATGTTTACTCCGTGATTCATGTGTGTCATAAACTATGCAATCCATTCCATTGTCTCTTCTCATATAACATGTAAAATATATAACATCCAATCCATTCAATTGTCTAATTCAACGATCCAATTCAATAACCTATTCAACAATCCAATTAAACATAAATCTAACTCAACTTAAACAAGTAAATTCAAATGTACTCTAAATTATGCACAATGAAATATAATGTACAATCCTAAAAAGAGGCTAAAGATACAAGTAGAACTGAAATATTATTTTATTATTGTTTGTATAACATTTAATAGTGAAAATAATCAGGAGAATGATGTTCTGGTATGTTGTCTTTCTGTGGTGGGTTATCTTGTTGCTCTTAATTCACTTCCAGTTGTTGGGGTTGTTCTTCACTATTTAGCTGACTATGTTGGCACTGCTGAATGAGAGATTGTGCACTAGGGGTAGAAATTGAACGACTACACTGACAAGGGATTAAAACTCTTTAAATTGATACTAATCTTTTGGCATCGTAATAAGTTTTTGGCAAATTATCTTTTATAGGTGTGACATCCAACAACATGCGTGTCATAAAGTCTAAGTATTGATCAGGAATATTCTAATATGACTTACAAGCTAAAAGTCTAACACATATTGACAATTTTAAATCTGTTGCCCTCTCAAATAATGGTTTATTTGTCTCTGTCAACAAATTATAAAACCTTTGAATTGCTTCATTTGGTGGCACTTCTATGTTAAGACACTTGGGTCCTTGAAATGATTGATGTTGCCGGAGAGAATTGTACATTGTAACATTTTTTTATTATTATTGATAATCATATCCCTTTAGAAGTAACCGAGTTGTCTATAACGTTCGTGTTCCAAGTAGTTCCTGGAAAGAAGGTAGTGATGCTTGCAGAAAAGAGATTTGGAAAATTTGGCGCCTCAATCTACTTAAGTTGATATTTCAATAAAACATGAACAAAAGATCACAATAGAGAGTGAGAACATTTATCATTTACAATAATACAATCTTATAATATATATATATATATATATATATATATATATATATATATATATATATATATATATATATATGTGTGTGTGTGTGTGTGTGTGTGTGTGTGTGTGTGTGTGTGTTTCAACTTCCTCAACATATTCTATTTTATGAAGATTTAAATTAAATTTGTAGTGATTAGTCAAGATAAATAAGCCCAATTTTAATCACTCTCCTAGTGATATTTACTCATTTAAATCCCCAAGGTCCAACCTCCATCTACAATATCATCAAATCTTCACAAATAAATATTATTAGAATTAAATAATATAACTATAAATTAATAAATAGGATCGCTGCATTACTAGAAATAAAATAAAGTAACAAACATGACCAGTACATAACTGGAGATAATTAAAATAGGACCAGTGCAAGACTGGAGATAAAGTAAAATAAACAAACAAGACCAATACATAACTGAAGATAATTAAAATAGGACCAATGCAAGACTGGAGATAAAATAAAATAAACAAATAGGACCAATACATAACTAGAGATAATTAAAATAAGACCAGTGCAAGACGAGAGATAAAATAAAATAAACAAACAGGATCAATACATAACTAGAGATAATTAAAATATGATCAGTACAAGACTGGAGATAAACTAAAATAAACAAACAGGACCAATACATAACTAGAGATAATTAAAATAAGACAAGTACAAGACTAGAGATAAAATAAACAAGCATAAGACAGGACCCTTACGTAGTTAGAGATAAATAAATAAGTAAATAAATAAATAGAATGAGGTTAGGGACACCTCACTCCACAACTATAAAAATAAAATAGATTTAATGATAATATTCTGTTCCCCTACCTTAAGAACTACAGATGATGTACCAAAATTTTGCAAAAACGATTTTATCTTTCTCTTTCTTTTCTCTCCTTATCTTTCTCCCTTTCTCTTTCTCTCTCTCTCTCTCTCTCTCTCTCTCTCTCTTTCTCTTCCTCCCTCTCTCTTTCTTTCTCTTTCTCCCTTTCTCTTTCTTTCTCTTTCTCCCTTATCTTCCTACGGATCTTCTCCCTTGGTCCCTTTTTATAGCAATTTATTTTCTTTTTTTTTCATTTATTTAATTAAGTAATCATAAATGAAGTAATTATGATTTTGATAAGGTTTATCTTTTAGGAAGATAACTTTATCATATATATATATATATATATATATATATATATTAATAATTAATATTTTTCTTCTCTTTCATGTTTATGAATATAACAAATATATATATTATAATAATTTAATAATAACAAATTTCTTTTAATATATTTAAATTATCCAAATAGTATAATTTAATATATTGTATGTGGAAGATGATAAATTTTTGAGATGTTACATACATCATCTCTTGCATTGACATAAATTGGTCATGTTCAATCATGTGTACATCAATGCTTAAACTACCAACACAATTATCATCAACATTCTCTTCAACTTCATGCACATGTTCTCCATGATCTGTCCAAATCCAATAGTTTGATTTGAACTCTTGCTTGTAAAGGTGAACTTTGACGATTTCATCCTTCAAAATTCTTGTACAATCGTATTTTGTGCATGGAAATCAAATTCCCCCATCACGTTTGTAATACTCATATTGTCGAGCAGTTCTAAAAAACTCTTCAACCCTTATAACGAAAGACTCTTTCAAACATCTTCTACTACTATAACATTGTAGACCCCTAATCTTGCCCGACCTCATAATAAAGACCAGAAGACCTTCTATTCAAAGATGGATGAAGCCTAAGAAGCCACTAGGAGAGACTATTAGGCCCCATACTAGGATAGGAGAGATTTTTGGCTCAAAAATAAGGATTCTCGCCTTTTTAGGTCGATACCGCCATCTCGGATTCGAGACCGCCGTCTCATCATTCCTGCAAGGCGAGACGGCCGTCTCGAATGGCGAGACGGCTGTCTCGACCTTGTCAGACGAGACGGCCCGTTTCGACCTGACAGGCGCGAATCCCTATAAATAGGAGCGTCATTCCCCTTATTTCCCACAGTTCTTCCATTCTCTCTCTAGACATTTCTTCAAATTCTCTTTCTAGAACCCCTCCGAAGCATTTCCGGAGTTTTTGAGAGCTTTCTAGAGTGTTTTACAGTGTTTTTGAGTGATTCCGGCGCTGTAAAGAGTGAAGGGCTGCCAAAAAGCACCATAATTGCAAAGAATTAATAGAAAGCTTGCTTTGGAGGTTTTTATACTCTCTCTCTCTATTTTACCGCTTTAATTTTTAATTATGCAATAGAAACTAGGGTCATGTAGTCATAATTTTAAATTCCACAAAATAAAGGGTAAAAGTGTATTTTTCACCGGTTTATTTATTTAAAGTAGCTGGCCTATCATAGGGAACCCGAAAGGGGCGTCGTAAGGGAACTAACACTTCCCTTACACGTAACTAACTCCCTTACCCAACTCTGGTTCTAATGACCAAAGTTGGTTTTTCGAAAACCAACGCCTTTTTACTCCTTTTCCGATGTTTCCGGTAAAAACGTCGGTGGCGACTCCAAAAGAACCCTTCAAAAACTAGTTCTTGGTTTAGCCCGGTTATCGGACAATCCAAGAACACCTTTTCGAAAACCTCGCCCCTAGGTTCAGCCCGGTTATCGGACAACCTAAAGGCGTTGTAACTACACCAATAAAAACGCGAAAAATAGAAAGTCAGAACTATCGCGTCGCTCCGACCGCCTCGTTTTGACGGCGGCGACAGATGGCGACTCCACTGGGGAAGCCTAGAGAGTTGATCCCATTTAGTGATGGACCAGCTAAAAATAAATAAACCAAGAAAATGACACTTTTACCCTACCTTGTATTATAACATGTTTTACTGCTTGGCTTTAATAACTGTTGTTTGTTTATACTTACGCAATTGTTTGAAATACAAACCCTTGCACACTACAGTTCCCTCTATACCCGGGGGCAAGTGAGAAACACATAGGGAGTGAGTCACAGGTACGGTTCGTTGTAGTGATGGCCTTGTGCCCACCAGTGTGATCGGAAACCACCACTCAAGGTGATAACCTTCCTCTTTTGGCACAAAGACTGACTATGGCCTTAGTGCTAAGCATGGTCGGAAGGCTAGAGAGTGGGGACCCTATAATGGGGGAACCTTGGGGGCCTTAGCCTGGGCGAGAACAGTTAGAACCTACCTTCGCCAATGCACTTTTCTGCAGGAAAACCCTACCTCGTGATTAAAACGACTTCTCGCCTGTTCGTGGATGATCGAATTGTATGTGCATCTGTTTTTTGCATTTGTCTGTTGCATAGCATAACCAAACAACAACAAAATCACAAAAAATTCCTTTGCAATAAACACCCTTATCTCGGACAGTCTGCCTTTTAGCTAGCCTGGTTTCAGGTTCTTTGTAAGCTAAGTAGCCACACAGTCCTACAGAAGAGATAAGGGACGTTAACTATCCTTTTGCATAAAGCCATTTTTTTATCTCGGACAGTCTGCCTTTTAGCTAGCCTGGTTTCAGGTTCTTTGTAAGCTAAGTAGCCACGCAGTCCAACAGAAGAGATAAAAGGCTATAAAATAGAAATAAAAATAAAACAAAAAATCCGATTCCAAAACAATGAATGGGACCTGATTCAAAAATATTACCCCCATATAGGTAGTTTATTTTTCAAAAAAAGTATCATACAAAACATGATAAATAAAAATAAACACTCGCATTCATTCAATAAGCATCATTTTCATAAAACATGCATTTTGGTTTTAGAAAATG